CGTCCGTGCCTACGATGGGGGGCGAATAATTTTGGCGGTGCGGGTGCTAAGATAACGCGCCGTGCGTGGCGGGGCGATATCCTCGGATGCTTGGGCGTGGCTTAATGGGGGGGTCACAAATGGGGGGGTCAGAAACTGTCCCCTTTCGTGCCCCTTTCGAGCCCCTCCGGACCCCCAGGGGGCTCGTTTAGGTACCGTTTGGGTACCTTTTCGGACCACCCTCGCCACCCCCCCATTTATGACCCCTCCATTACGCAACGCCCAAGATGCACTACCCCACACGACGGCCTTTTTTTTTTTTTTTTTTTTTTTTTTTTTTTTTTTTTTTTGTTTGTTTTTCATTTGGGGTGGTAATAATAATCGTATAGGACAAGGATCATGGAGAAAATGAAAAAGATGAGGGAGGGATGAAAGAAGCAGGGGAGTCCGTCAGTTTTTGGATGTTCATTCGCATTATCATCCTTACTCTTATTATTACTGTTCGTATTATCATTATTCGTCTTATTCTTATGTGTTTTATTATTCTGGTTCTTGGTAGTATTGTACTTCTTGTCTTTTTGGACAAGCTGTCGTAATTATGTTGTGCGGGTGCGGTGCTAAGATAACGCGCCGTGCGTGGCGGGGGCGATATCCTCGGATGCACTACCCCACACGACGGCCTGGAAAAAACAATTTTTCATTTGGGGTGGTAATAATAATCGTATAGGACAAAGATCATGGAGAAAATGAAAAAAATGAGGGAGGGATGAAAGAAGCAGGGGAGCCCGTCAGTTTTTGGATGTTTATTCGCATTATCATCCTTACTCTTATTCGCATTCTTGCGATCATTATTATTACTGTTCGTATTCTCATTATTCGTCTTATTCTTATGTGTTTTATTATTCTGGTTCTTGGTATTATTGTACTTCTTGTCTTTTTGGACAAGCTGTCGTAATTATGTTGTGCGGGTGCGGTGCTAAGATAACGCGCCGTGCGTGGCGGGGGCGATATCCTCGGATGCACTACCCCACACGACGGCCAGAACAACAATTTTTCATTTGGGGTGGTAATAATAATCGTATAGGACAAAGATCAGGGAGAAAATGAAAAAATGAGGGAGGGATGAAAGAAGCAGGGGAGCCCGTCAGTTTTTGGATGTTTATTCGCATTATCATCCTTACTCTTATTCGCATTCTTGCGATCATTATTATTACTGTTCGTATTCTCATTATTCGTCTTATTCTTATGTGTTTCATTATTCTGGTTCTTGGTATTATTGTACTTCTTGTCTTTTTGGACAAGCTGTCGTAATTATGTTGTGCGGGTGCGGTGCTAAGATAACGCGCCGTGCGTGGCGGGGGCGATATCCTCGGATGCACTACCCCACACGACGGCCTGGAAAAAACAATTTTTCATTTGGGGTGGTAATAATAATCGTATAGGACAAGGATGGTGAAGATAATGAGAAACAGCTCGTAATGGTATGCTTATTCTAATCAGTATGCTCATTATTATTGCTATTGGAATTCGGATTATGATTATTATTCTTAATCGTATTAGTATCACTCTTATTATTCATTTTATTCTGATTATCATTATTGTTATTCTTGCTCTTATGTTTACCATGTTTCTTAATCTTATTAGTATGATTCTGAATGTTTTTAGCATTCGCATTATCATTATTATTCCTCGTATTTATCTTGTTATTATTCGTATTCCAATCCCAACTCTCATACCACCCGAGCCGGGGCGCGGGAATTATCTATTTTCGCTCCATTTGTGCGGTGCTAATCATATCGTTCGGCGACAACCGCCCTCATAACTATTTGATTACGGTGCGGTGCTAATGATAACCCCGGGGGAGTGAACTTTCACCGCATAGCTTACACCACATAGCTCAAACCACATGGAAGGTACCACATATCTTACACCACAAAGCTTGTACAACATCGGATGCACCACATCGATTGCACCACATAGGCTACACATCCAGTGCAACAAATTACAATTTTGGGCCCAGGCTGGCAAATGCTTTCAGGTGTAAGCCCTCTGCACAGGACCAGGACACAGGATGGGCTAGAGCATAAGCGACGGGATCTAGAATCCCACCAGCACTTTAGGGCGCGAATTGTTCAGCGAGATTCCTCTTCAAACCCCCCTTCTTCTCCTTCGGGAGGGGGTTTATCACTGTTCCTTATTAATATACACCCCCTCCCCGACCCGGCCGGCGTCCAAGCAGGAACCATGCCGACACCATGCCGACCCGCCCCCCACCATCCCTACCAAAAAACAATACACACCGCTCTCTGCCTCCACATTTGGAGCATGCGCGGCCAGCTCGATGCGGCCCCCCACACCATCCCTGTCAAAAAACAATGCAAAGTACACTTTGGGGCAAAGTCTTGAGTCATGCTCGTGAGGCCCGCGAACACTTTGTATAGTTTTTGGCAGGGACGGCGGCCAGCATATTCCCTGTTGTGCGCAGGGCTACCATCCCTGACAAAAAAACAACCTGCACCTCGCGGCTAAATCTGGATCATGCGCGGCCATCCCGCGATCACTGTAAAATGGTTTTTGACAGGGACCGCGGGGGTGGTGGCGCGTGGCCTGCTGTGCGCAGGCCCACCAGACACAACGATGGGCATGTGTTTTCGACAAGGATGGCGCGGGCCAACATGGTTCCCGATGTGTGCTGTCACTTGCGCAGGCGCACCTGACGCACTCTGCACGTGCCTCGAACATGACGCACCTGGCGCGGCTGGAGTGTGCGGCAGACCTGGCGCACTCGGAGCACGTGGCGTATCTGGCGCACCAGGCGTGCCTGGCACGCTCGGGCCCCAGGGGTGCCTGGCGCGCGTGGTGTCCCTGGCACGCGTGGCGCACCTCGCCCAAGCGTCGCGCACCTGGGGTCGGCTTTGGTTCCCAGTAGCTGTCCTTCCAAAGACGACCGCTGAACATGCTCAGGCTCGGGTGTTACTTCGGAGGGCGGGTGGGAGTGAGCCAGACGACTCGCGGGCGGGCGGGTAGCTTGACCCCTCTTCCTACTCCCTCCCCCTGGGTCTGGAGAGGTGGGGGGGGGCGTCAGAGATTAAAGCGTCCAAAACGGCCTCGGCAAGCAAGCCATCATCATTGACTGTACTAAGGTTCTGGCCAGATGTTTGCCCCTTGAGGGGGGGGGACCCTAGTGTACTAGGGCTCCTCCTTTGACCGATCTCCTCCAAGAGGGCCTCCGCGGCTCACAAGGGTGCCCCAAGACGGCCCCAAGAGGTGCCCAGTAGGCCTTCAAGAGGCTTCAGAAAAGCTCCTAGGATGCCCCCTAGAAACCCCCCAAAGGCACCAAGAGGCCCCTCACCAGCACCCAAGACGCCGCCAAAGGCCTCGGCGAGAAGGCCGCCAAGGCCTGTGGCGACAGGTTGGCCTCCTGAGGGGGAACACTGATCCAGGAGCCCCCCCTCCTTTGATCGGTCTCCCCCGCATGACCTCAAGATGGCCCCTGAGGCTCCCATGGGTGCCCCAAGACGGCCCCAAGAGGCGCCCAGGATTCCCCAAGAGACCCCCTACGAGGCCCCCACGATGCCCCCGAGTGGCTCTCAAGACCACCCAAAAGACGCCCCCCAGAGGCTTCCGAGACGACCCAAGAGGCCTCGGCAAGGAGGCTAAACTCATCGATTATATGGGTTTGGCCACATTCTGGCCTCCTGGGAGGGCACTCTAACTAAGGAGCCCCCTCATTTGATCGATTTCTTCCAAGATGGCCCAAAGACGGCCCCCGAGGCTCCTATGGGTGCCCCAAGATGGCCCCAAGAGGTGCCCAGGAGGCCCCAAGAGGCCCTCTCAGAGGCCCCCCAAGATGCCTCGAAAACGCTCCCAAATCTCCCGGGACTGCCAGAGACCCTCAAGACGCCCCAAGAGGACTCCGAGAAGCTCTCGAACGAAATCCAAAGAGACTCCGAGAGGCATCCAAGGGGCATCTGGCCTTTCAGTTCGCCCTCCTCCTCCTCCTCCTCCTCCTCCTCCTCCTCCTCCTCTTCCTCATCCGCCTGTTCCTCTTCTTTCCTCCACATCCCTCACCCTCCTCCTTCTCCTCTTCCTCCTCCTCCTCCACCTCCTCCTTCTCCTCCTCCTCCTCCTCCTCCTCCTTCTCCTCCTCCTCCTCCCCCTACTCCTTCTTCTCCTCCTCCTCCTCCTCCTCCTCCTCCTCCTCCTCCTCCTCCTCCCCCTCCTCCCACTCCTGCAGCTCCTCCTCCTCCTCCTCCGCCTCCTCCTCCTCCTCTTGGGGTACGAAGTCTTACCCAGCCCATATTCAACTACATGCTGCTCCACATCCCTGATCATGGCAACTCGTCGAGGCATTGCTTCCAGATGGGCCTTTCTGAATACTTCAGGCCTCTCGTATGTCTGGCCAAGTCTCTGGTTTGTTCGTCTCGCCTGCTCTCCATGTTAGCGTGTGGGCCTGTCCTCTCTTCGTACGTCGGGTGGTTTGCGCTCCTGTGCTCGCGTCCATCCGAGACCATCCGCTTACCCCATCCTCCTTCGTTTTCGGTCCCCCTCCTGTACTCTCTGGCTGCAAATCATCCATTGAGATTTTCCGCGCCTCTTCATTTTACGAGGCGATGCAGCATGGCTGGTTCATGCGGAATGGCAACGCAGTACCTCAACATGAAAGACGGGCAATGCCCGCACTGAACCAGCGTCAGCGGCCTGTTGTGCTGGGACTGCTTGAGGACATCTGATTCGACATGACGCGGCCGTTGTCTGATCACTGTGCGTACTCCAGATTTCGTAATAAAAGGGAGGGGGTCTGGACCCTCCAAGACAAGCCATTTCAGACCTCCCCCGTGGGAGAACCCTCCAAAACATCGTCCCCAGACCCCCCCAGGCCCTCCGAGATAGCCTGGAAGAGACCCCCCCCGAAATGAGACCCCCCTCCCTTTATTGCGAAATCTGGAGTAACTTGGCAGTCTGGGTCTGGGTTGGGCATTCACCAAGCCAGACGCAGGGCGGCGGAGCGGGCAGCCGACCTTCATCACGTCCCTGGTCAGTATCACGCCGTGGTTGTCCTGGTCGAACAGCCTGCCCACTGCATGACGTATAAACGTCGATGCAATATTCGTATTGCATGTTAGAGCTGCATGTGAAACGTGTAAGACAGACTCTCCCATGGCCATGCTGCGAGCCATCATGCCCCATGGTATCGATCACACTTCAGCAGCTGCAGGGTTCTAGCGACCGCCACATGTGCAACGTCGGGATCCCAGAAGATGTCGGCCTTTACTTCCATTAGACAAGCGCGTTCCACTACTCACAAAATACCTACTCGCAAATGGCCTGGATCCGCCACGGGGATTTGGCAAAACATCAAATCGAGGCGAACATGCGTTCTTCGGCACTTTGCGAGTAGTGGAACGCGCTCTGTGATCTATTTGGTGTCAACTTGTACTTCCGCTGGCGTTCGCCAACCCTCCGCAAATGTCTGCCGTCGGAGATTGTTGTATTGACTTCCGCGATTTCCGCCAAGGCTTAGGTCGGGCATGTCCCCCTACAGGCGGATGTGGGAAGAAAACGCATAATCAAACCAAACATCAAAATAGTCAAAACAGCACGAGCATTCGTCAACAGACTGTTTGCCAATATTCTCGAATATTCCCCCTGTAGAGGGACGTGCCCGACTTAAGCCAAGGCCCCTCCCGGAGCACCCTACACGTCCAGATAGAGCTCTCGAGCAGGCCGTGGCGTACAGCCGCGGCCGAAGACAGAGGCCATCCGATTGGACACGTCTCGCACTCTGCCGAGGGCATCACTTCTTGCTTTCGGCCACCTTTCGGGGGGGGGGGGCATAAAGGTGGGGTAGGGGCAAAGCGTGGGTTGGAAGGAAAATCGCTCCGAACGACCCCTGGAAGAAGGAAACGCGTGAAACGTGAGTATCCAGCTGCGCCCGTTCCCCAACTCCACCTTGGGATAACCCTCCTTCTACGAACCTTTCTACTGCTCGGACGTCCATTCCTGGTGTATGTTTCGGTTTCGCGCGTGTATTTTCAGGCTCAAGGATCCATGGTGCTCCTCGAGGGTCCTCGCCCAAAATCATTCACTCCGTAGAGCTTCACATATGTGCACCTATTAGCATGGACTTGTCGACCGTGAGCGCAAGAGTTCTCGAATACAAACGAGTTTGAGTATTGACAGTCCGGCAGTGAATCGAACTGTGAATGAGTTGGAGTGTGATTGAGTCTCAATTATACAAGCGCGTCTCTGCGCATGAGCCTGGGGCCTCCTTGGGCTCCTTGAGCCTCCTGGGGCTTCCTGGGGCCTCCTGGAGCTTTTGGGGGCCTCCTGGGGCATCTTGGGGCTTCCTGTGGCCTCCTGAAGCCTCCTGGGGCCTCGTGTGGCCTCCTGGTGCCTCCTGGAGCCTCCTGAAACCTCCTGGGGCCTCCTGGGGAGGATTCGTGCTCCAGCAGAGGCCCAGTCTATAGGAACGTGCCCAATCTATAGGAACACACGTTAAACACCAGAAACTCGTGCCCCATGGGGAGGCCCAATCTACAGGAACACACGTAAAACACTTAGGAGTGGATACGCAGGAGAAGGGCAATGTATAGAAACATACGAACAAAAAACACCACGGATTTGCACTCCAGGGGGGGTGGGGAATCTATAGGAGTATACGTAAAACACCAAGGATGGGAGCCAATCCTGTGGCCTTCTGAGGCCTCCTGCTCCTGAGGCCTATTGCGGCCTCCTGGTGCCTTCCGGGGCCTCGTGGTGCTTTCTGTGGCATCCTGTGGCCTCCTGTGGTCTCCTGGAGCCTCCTGAGGCCTCTTGAGCCTTCCTGTGGCCTCCTGATGCCTCGTGGGACCTCGTGTGGCCTCCTGGGGCCTCCTGGAGCCTGATTACTGGAGCCTCCTGTTGCATCCTGGGTGGTATCTGCGCCCACGAATCTGCGCCATTTTGGCGCGAACGGAAGAGTGCAATACCCCCTGGCAACTCCCCCTTGGGGTGCTGAAACCCTGTGCCGATCCGGACTAAAACGTGAGCAGTAACAACAACCCGCCACCTACGCCAATCTCGATCCTCCCGAGAAGAGGGAGGAAGATAGCGATGTCGGCGGCGAGTTGGGGGGAGTGAGATGGGGCGAGCCTTCTCAGAAGGCTCGGACATCCCCTGGCCTCCTGAGGAATTTTCAAAGTCTTCCCCGAAGACACGGAAACCCTCTTGGAAGGCCGGAGGCCTTCTGAGAAGCCCCGCCGCCTTCTGAGAGGGCCTCCTCCTTCTCGTTTCCCCCCCTCGCTCGCCGCCGACAAGGATGAGGATGCAATCGACGACGGCGCCAATGCGAGGCGCGGATATATCCATATCCACCGCCCGTGGAAACGACGTCCTGGGGACCCAGCGGGCAATTTTTGGATATATTCGGCCCCCCGGGGGCCAAAATATATCTGTGTCTGCCGCCCGTGGAGGTCCGCGAGAATCCATCCTCCAGGCGGTGGTTATGTATAAATCCCCGCCTCGACGACAAGGCGCTCCTGAAGATCTTCTGGATCTCGGCCCTGGTGTCCTTCTCGTCCTTGCCGTCTTGCCTCCGCCGCGGCCGCGGCGGCAGCACAGGGGCAGGGGGCCGGCAGGGGGCTCCCAGGGGACGAAGGGGGCGGGGGGCTTCGGGCTGGGGGCTGCAGGCCTCAGGAGAAATCAGCGGGCACTCGTGCCACAACCGAACAAACCGAAGCTTTCGACGGGCCGCGGGGATTTCTTGGGTCGGCGCGGGCCCCCCCCTTCCCCGGCGCGCGGAGCGCGCCACTTCTTCGGGGACACGCCTGCCACATCTATCTGTCAATGACCCCCCCTGATCAAGGTTGGCGGCGGGTTTCCCAGCGCGTGCCAACTCTGAATGTATCTTTGAGGGAGGTGGAGCGTCCACCAAATGTTTCCCTCTGCCGCATGGCCACGGGGCGCCCTGACCCCGTCAGTGTCCCCAGATTCCTGGCGTCACTCACGAGCGGCGAACATATCCGTATCCCGTGCCTCGCGGTCTGGATACGTTCCGCTCATATCCGAGGGTCGCGACCCAGAGGCCCGGATCGCGAGGCCGCGGATACGGATGCTTGTCGCCCACGAGCCACCACCCCGCAGCGCACGGTGGTCGCAAGCGTCCGTCGTGGCTGACGCTCAAAGTCTGGGCAACCATGGGGCAAGGCGACGGCGGGCAAACGCTGATGGGGGGGGGGCTTCCCAGTAATGCCGCTGGCTTGTAAGAAGCATGGGGGGGGGATGAACGAGCGCAGGCCAGGAACGTGTGCACTCCGCTGGGGAGCCTGCCCGTGCCCACAGCGGCATGGCGTGGAGGCCGCGGCCTCAGCGAGGAAGATCACGCGGGAACGTGTCAGCAGTTCAGCGCGAGCATGAGGCATTATCGGATGGGGCGAGAAGGGTGGCGGAGGGGGGATCCGATCGATGATGAGGTGATGGGAAGAGTCTTCAGATGGTCCAGACGCGTTCAGGGCGCTGTCGGAGTGCCTGAGGCGTTCCACTGGATTCTGGCACAGGGGAACGATGGGACTTTTCTGGCCACGGCGAACCTCGGCCGCGAATACGTTCCTCGACCTAAGTCTATGGAACGGACCGTAAACCAGCGCTCCTCCTGACGTAGTCCGTATTTCAGCGTCTTGACTGTGAGTACTGCATATTTTCGCTGGAGCGCGCAGTTCGACCTTCAGCATGAGCTCGAAAAGTGACTGAGGCGTGCGGCTATGCCTGTGGCTGTGTGGATGATCACTTCGGCATTCCCCCTCTCTTGCGCACACTTGCCAGGTGTGGCTCCGACCAAAGAGCTTGCGGTGCGCTGCCACGAAGCTGGAAACACAGATGGCTGGATTCGCATGCGGAGCATGCGCAGGCCCCATGCTGGAAACACACGTGCAGGATCACTGTGCCTGGGGATGCGAGGGCCGATCGCTGGAAAGACGTGCGGCCACATGCCGTTCCAGCCCTCGCCCAGGCTGCCCGCTTCAGATGTATCCAGCTCCCTGGTAGCGCGGCCAGGAAGGACCAGGCAAGGAGAGCATTGTGCACCCAAGCAGGAATCGCCACCGTACATCGGGTGCACGCGAGAAGGGCCCTGGGCAAGAGCGACCTTTGGTGCGCGGCTTTAGGGGGGCCGCGGGAGAGTGGTGGAAGGAGCAACTCGGAGCGCGCAAGCCAGTGCTGGGGGAACCCCTCCTCCTCCTCCTGCTCTTCCTCCTCCTCCTCTTGAGGCGCCGCTGGGAGGGAGCAAATCGGAGCGCGCAAGCCAGTGCTGGGGGGACCCCTGTGAACCCGCGCCAAAGGTCAGTCCGGCGAAGGGCCGCTCCCAGGTGTCGCCCGCCGTCGACGTGGTCCCTTCGTCACCGGCGGGGCGGCGACATCAGGCCCAGGAACTCTTCGAAGTCGAGCGACGCACTGCCGTCGGTGTCCAGCTCGGACAGCATGAGGAAGATCGTGTCGTTTCTGAGGCGTGTGCCCCGTGGGTCAGGAGGAGGCCGAGGAGGCCAGGCGAGGAGGAGGAGGCGAATGATTACGACGGGGAGGAGAAGCAGAAGGGACGAGCGCGAGGAGGAATAGGGAGGGGCGCGAGAAGGACCAGGGAGGGCAAAGACATTTTCATGATTGGTGCGGCCTCATGATGGCAAGCAACATGGTTGGAAAAACCTTCCCGATCATGTGGACATGGGTGAGACAACACCAACTTCGTGTGGACACGGCGAGCTGCCCACTACGCTCGTTATCGCAGACTGGCCGATGCCACACATCCGAGCTACCACGCACATGCTGTGGCAGGCCACCGAACTCCGGACCTGCTGAAGAGCAGCATATCCACGATGATCACAACAGGGGCCAATTTATACATGTTGGAAAAGACCTCAACACTTGACTGGGGCACGGCAACGGACTGTGAAAACTCCCGTGCAGGCTCTCAAAGTCCGGCGTGCAAAGGTGAACGTACATCTTTAACGTACATTATTGTTTGCCTTAGTGTTCCCCGCCCCCCCCCCCCTCACCTCGCCTCCCCATCAACCCCACCCACAGAGGCAGCTGCACAATGAACGCCGCACGCAGGTTCTCTGTTCATTGAACAACACCATGTTGTGTCTAAATTTCTTATGCTGCTGGGTTTGATGGAACGGAAACGCAAGACGACCTTAGGGCAGAATGCATCCTCAAACGTACTCCGAATCAACGCTAGGTTGGCTCTGCGGTGAGAATCATAATATACCACGTGAACGCCAACAGCTGCATCTGAAATGTTATTCACAAACTTCCAGGCCCGCGCGGAGGGCATCGCTTTGCTGTGAGCCTGGCATTGATGATCCTGCTCCTCCTTTGTAAGATTCGAGCCCACATGCAAGACGATCTGTCTCGCCTTGCATCGGGCAGCTCAGCCAGCAGGCTGAGATGCGTAAGAGGTCCACCTAGTTTGGCGGCACGCACAAAATGGGTGGGGGGAAGGGGGACGGCTTCTTAGAAAGAGGCTGCTTCTTAGAAGGCGCCGGCCCTTGCCCAGAGCGGAACTTGTGGCAGGACCAGCCTGTGCACCGCCGTGGAATATGCCTGGCCATCCGCCGAAACTGCGATGCAAATTCGCTGGCGTCGGCGTCGGCTCAGTCGTCCACCGCGTGTGGCAAGCAAGAACTCCGATGCGCTACCTTTTTCCCTGCCGGCTTCCCCCAGCACTGATCCCCTGTGAGTCAGCCACAAATCCACCCTTCCGATCCTGCATCTTAAAGCCCAGGCCTCCTGTGATTTCGGGCGCACTCTGAATGGTGTTTCCTCTTTGTTTTCCCTGCCGCCCCGAGCAAGAAAGAAACACGTCCAGGACCTCGTTTTCCTCCCCCAAGGACCAGTATTTCATCCTTCGAGTAAGAGATCGTCTGCCGACGTGATTTGCCCCAGAATTGATTTTCTGTCGGGTCTACGACGAATGCGCAGAATGTGAGCGTTTCCTTACGGCGTTTCGACATTGGGCGGAAGGGGGGGGGGAGGGGGGAGGGTCTGGTTTCGGACCTCTGTTTAGAGCGACTGTTTGCAACAGTGCGCTCTACGGGGGAGGCTCCACCGGCTTGAAACAGGCGCCCCAAACAGCCAACATATCTACTCCATTGGGGGGCAGGGCGGGGCGAGGGCCCGCGCCGACCGGCAAAACAAGGAACAAACGACGGTCACAATGCTCCGTCGAATCCTGAGCTGTTTCTCGACGGTCCCCGGGCCCGCGGAGAGCGCCCGCAGACGCAAAGGGAACTCCAGGATCCGCCTCTCCGGCCCCGCGCCGACGTGGGCGCCTAGGCTGCCCGCGTAATTAGGGTCGGACGTAAGCGCCCTCGTGTCCAGGGTGGCGTTCCGCGCTAGCGGCCCGCGTAGGCCAACGGGTAAGCTAAGGCCAACGCGTAGGCCAACGCGTAGGCCAACGCGCGCCGTGCCATCTCGCGGAGGATCCGCTTTTGAGCGTCTAAGCGTCGCGTCCGGGAGGAAGTGAGAAGGGGCCAGCCTTCTCAGAAGGCTCGGAAGCTTCCCGTTCTTCTGAGAAGTTTTCTAAGCCCTCCCCGAAGACACAAAAGAAACCTCTCCGAATGCGCGAGGGCTTCTGAGAAGTCCCGCCGCCTTCTGAGAAGGCCTTCTCCTTCTCACTTCCCCCCTTCGCTCGCCGCCGATCGTCGCTCGCTTGGATTGAGGCCCGCGGATTCGGGACGGGTCCCGCTTCCGTGCAGAATCGGCGGGCTGCTGCCCCCCCTGCCACCCCTGCTGCGCTCGCGGGCGATCGCCTCCCCCCTCCGTGCTGCGGGTGCCCCCAGACACTCGCCAGCAATCGGACGTCCATTTTCCCCGTGCACTCCTCGGCTTCGTGCGTGCACTTTTTGTTCGCAAGCTGACCTCGATGCTCCTCGATGGTCCTCGCCGATTTCTTGGACGTCCATTCCCCGTGCATTATTCGGCTTCGTGCGTGCCTTTCTTCCGCAAGCTGACCCACGATGCTCCTCGAAAGTCCTCGCCGAGAAAAAATGCACACGTCCGAGCGATGCCAAGGACATGAAAACGAAACCAGGACGAGGACAACATCGGGTGAGTGAGGATGCACTGAGAATCTCTGAGATCCGGCGGCTCTGGAGGTTGACTCGGGCGCCGCGGCCTTCTCAGAGCGTTCCGGAACGCTCTGAGAGTGCTTTTGGAACTCGACCGTTTCTTTCGCGGGCCCGGCTCTTCACCCCGAGCAATTTGTGCACGGTCCTGGGGCCCGGAATCAGCCTCCCGAGGCCGAGAACGAAGAAAAGCATTCCGTCCAGCTTTTTGTTTGGACGTTGGATGTTTTGGTCTACCTCGTCCAACTCACCAGCATCCCACATATGGCGGGCGCGCTTGCTCTCGTAGCCGAGCGACGCCATGGCTGCCTTCAGCTCCTCCGCACGGGTTCGCCATTTACCGCTCAGAGCTTCGGGGCAATAGAGCAGCACAGCAAGTCGTGTGTGCTCCCCCGCCTCCTCCTTTTTCCCTCCTCCTCCTCCTCCTCCTCCTTCTCCTTCCCCTCCTGTCCCTCTGATGTTGCTCCCACTCCTCCTTCTCCTCCTCCTCTCTCCGCTCCTCGTCCTCGTCTTTATGATCTTACATTCCTTCTCGTCGTCGTCGTCGTCTTCCTTTTTGTTTTCTCCCTCCACGTGTTTCCCATCCTGCTCGTCCCCCTCGTCTTTGTCGTTCCCCTTACTGCCGTCGTCGTCCGACTTGTCCTCCTCCTCCTCCTTTTCCTTTTCCTCCTGCCCCCCCTTCCCCTCACCCTTCCCATCTTCTTCAAAAAATATGCTGCCAGAGTTCCCCGCATAAGGATGTCACAAAGGGGCCTAAGTGGGCAACGTGGTGGGACCTCTGTGGGCGCTCTGGCGGGGCCTCCCTGGACGAGCGGGACAGGGACGAAACCGTGAAACTAATATGGTGTTCCGATACGATCCTCGCTTTGGCGAGGCCTCCCTAGAGGGGTGGGACAAGCACAAAACCGTGAACCTGGTATGGTGTTCCGATACTATCCTCGCTTTGGCGAGGCCTCCCTGGAAGAGTGGGACAAGCACGAAGCCTTATAAATAGTATGGTGTTCCGATACCCTCCTCGCTCAGGTAGGGCCTCCCTGGAGAGGTGGGCGGGCCCCGAAGCCGTGTGAATAGTATGGTGTTCCAATGCTCTCCTTGCTCAGGCGGGGCCTCCCTGGAAGGGTGAGAGGGGCCCGGAGCCTTGTAACTAGTATGGTGTTCCGATACCCTCCTCGCTCTGGCGGCGCCTCCCTGGAGGGGTGGGAGGGGCACAGAACCTTGTAACTGGAGGGGTGGGAGGGGCACGAAGCCTTGTCAATAGTATGGTGTTCGGATACCCTCCTCGCTCAAGCGGCCTCCCTGGAGAGATAGGAGGGGCACACAAACGTGTAAATAGTATTGTATTCGGATGCGCTGTTCGCTCTGGCGGGGCCTCCCTGGAGGGGTGGGGGAGGGGCACGACACCTTGCATTTAACATGGTTCCCTGGTACTCTCTTTCAAATAAACGGGGCCTCCCTGGAAAGACGGGAAGGGCACGAAACCTGGTAAATACTATGGTTCTCCGATGCCCTCCTCGCTCTGGCGGCGCCTCCCTGGAGGGGTGGGACAAGAACAACACCGTGAACACAGCATGTTGTTCCAATACCCTCCTCGCTCAGGCAGTCCTCCCTGGATGGGTTTCAGGGCCACAACACTATGTAATTAGTATGGTTCTCCGATACCCTCCTCGCTCAGGCGGGGCCTCCCTGGAGGGGTGGGATGGGCAGACGAACGTGTACATAATATTGAATTCGGATGCGCTCCTCGCTCAGGCGGGGCCTCCCTGGAGGTGGAGGGGTGGGCGGGGCACGACACCTTGGAAATAGTATGGTTATCCGATACCCTCCGCTCAGGCGGCGCCTCCCTGGAGGGGTGGAACGGGCACGAAACATGGGAAATAGTAGGGTCCTCCGATGCCCTCCTCGCTCAGGCGGGGCCTCCCTGGAGGGGTGGGAGGGGCACGACACCTTGTAAATAGTATGGTTCTCCGATACCCTCCTCGCTCAGGCGGCGCCTCCCTGGAAGGATAGGAGGGGCACGAAACCTTGTAATTAGCATGGTTCTCCGTTACCCTGCTCGCTCGGGCGGGGCCTCCCTGGAGGGGCGAGAGGGGCACGAAACCTTGCAAATCGTATGGTTATCCGATGCCCTCCTCGCTCAGGCGGGGCCTCCCTGGAGGGGCGGGAGCGGTCGTGTGGTAGTCTGGTAATAATAATATAGAAGCACCAGCGGAGGGGGGAGGAGGGAGGAGGGAGGAGGAGGAGAATGAGGAGGAAACGATGGTCTCATTGGACTTACGCTACCCAAACTCCCCACATTAAGATGCCACAATTGGGCTTTTGTGGGCGCTCTGGCGGGGCCGTTGTGGAAGAGCGGGACAGACACGAAACCGTGAAAGTAACATGGTGTTCCGATACCCTCCTCGCTCAGGCGGGGCCTCCCTGGAGGGGTGGGACAAACGCGACACCGTGAAATTATGCTAACGGAGTTCCCCACATAAAGAGATTAACGGTTTCGTGGGACCCATTTTCTTGATGCCCTCCTCGTGTTGGCGGGGCCCCGCTGGAAAGGGGGAGGGCTACGAAACCTGGCGAAGAGTAATGCTTTCCGCGACCCTCCTCGTTCAAGCGCGGCCTTTCTGGAGGAGTGGAGGGGGGACGCGAAACCATGTAAATAGTATGGTTTTCGGATACCCTCCTCGCTCAGGCGGGGCCTGCCTGGAAGGGTGGGAGGGGCACGAAACCATGTAAATAGTATGGTTTTCGGATACCCTCCTCGCTCAGGCGGGGCCTCCCTGGAGGGTGGGAGGGGCACGCAACCATGTAAATAGTATGGTTTTCGGATACCCTCCTCGCTCAGGCGGGGCCTCCTGGAGGGTGGGAGGGGCACGAAACCATGTAGTATGGTTTTCGGATTCCTCGAGATACCCTCCTCGCTCAGGCGGGGCCTCCCTGGAGGGGTGGGAGGGGCACGAAACCATGTAAATAGTATGGTTTTCGGATACCCTCCTCGCTCAGGCGGGGCCTCCCTGGAGGGGTGGGAGGGGCACGAAACCATGTAAATAGTATGGTTTTCGGATACCCTCCTCGCTCAGGCGGGGCCTCCCTGGAGGTGTGGGAGGGGCACGAAACCATGTAAATAGTATGGTTTTCCGATACCCTCCTCGCTCAGGCGGGGCCTCCCTGGAGGGGTGGGAGGGGCACGAAACCATGTAAATAGTATGGTATTCCGATACCCTCCTCGCTCAGGCGGGGCCTCCCTGGAGGGGTGGGAGGGGCACGAAACCATGTAAATAGTATGGTATTCCGATACCCTCCTCGCTCAGGCGGGGCCTCCCTGGAGGGGTGGGAGGGGCACGAAACCATGTAAATAGTATGGTTTTCGGATACCCTCCTCGCTCAGGCGGGGCCATGTAAATAGTATGGATTCGGATACCCTCCTCGCTCAGGCGGGGCCTCCCTGGAGGGGTGGGAGGGGCACGAAACCATGTAAATAGTATGGTTTCCGATACCCTCCTCGCTCAGGCGGGGCCTCCCTGGAGGGGTGGGAGGGGCACGAAACCATGTAAATAGTATGGTTTCCGATACCCTCCTCGCTCAGGCGGGGCCTCCCTGGAGGGGTGGGAGGGGCACGAAACCATGTAAATAGTATGGTATTCCGATACCCTCCTCGCTCAGGCGGGGCCTCCCTGGAGGGGTGGGAGGGGCACGAAACCATGTAAATAGTATGGTATTCCGATACCCTCCTCGCTCAGGCGGGGCCTCCCTGGAGGGTGGGAGGGGCACGAAACCATGTAAATAGTATGGTATTCCGATACCCTCCTCGCTCAGGCGGGGCCTCCCTGGAGGGTGGGAGGGGCACGAAACCATGTAAATAGTATGGTTTCCGATACCCTCCTCGCTCAGGCGGGGCCTCCCTGGAGGGGTGGGAGGGGCACGAAACCATGTAAATAGTATGGTATTCCGATACCCTCCTCGCTCAGGCGGGGCCTCCCTGGAGGGTGGGAGGGGCACGAAACCATGTAAATAGTATGGTTTTCGGATACCCTCCTCGCTCAGGCGGGGCCTCCCTGGAGGGTGGGAGGGGCACGAAACCATGTAAATAGTATGGTTTTCCGGATACCCTCCTCGCTCAGGCGGGGCCTCCCTGGAGGGGTGGGAGGGGCACGAAACCATGTAAATAGTATGGTTTTCCGATACCCTCCTCGCTCAGGCGGGGCCTCCCTGGAGGGGTGGGAGGGGCACGAAACCATGTAAATAGTATGGTTTTCGGATACCCTCCTCGCTCAGGCGGGGCCTCCCTGGAGGGGTGGGAGGGGCACGAAACCATGTAAATAGTATGGTTTTCGATACCCTCCTCGCTCAGGCGGGGCCTCCCTGGAGGTGTGGGAGGGGCACGAAACCATGTAAATAGTATGGTTTTCGGATACCCTCCTCGCTCAGGCGGGGCCTCCCTGGAAGGGTGGGAGGGGCACGAAACCATGTAAATAGTATGGTTTTCGGATACCCTCCTCGCTCAGGCGGGGCCTCCCTGGAGGGGTGGGAGGGGCACGAAACCATGTAAATAGTATGGTTTTCCGATACCCTCCTCGCTCAGGCGGGGCCTCCCTGGAGGGGTGGGAGGGGCACGAAACCATGTAAATAGTATGGTATTCCGATACCCTCCTCGCTCAGGCGGGGCCTCCCTGGAGGGGTGGGAGGGGCACGAAACCATGTAAATAGTATGGTATTCCGATACCCTCCTCGCTCAGGCGGGGCCTCCCTGGAGGGGTGGGAGGGGCACGAAACCATGTAAATAGTATGGTATTCCGATACCCTCCTCGCTCAGGCGGGGCCTCCCTGGAGGGGTGGGAGGGGCACGAAACCATGTAAATAGTATGGTATTCCGATACCCTCCTCGCTCAGGCGGGGCCTCCCTGGAGGGGTGGGAGGGGCACGAAACCATGTAAATAGTATGGTATTCCGATACCCTCCTCGCTCAGGCGGGGCCTCCCTGGAGGGGTGGGAGGGGCACGAAACCATGTAAATAGTATGGTATTCCGATACCCTCCTCGCTCAGGCGGGGCCTCCCTGGAGGGGTGGGAGGGGCACGAAACCATGTAAATAGTATGGTATTCCGATACCCTCCTCGCTCAGGCGGGGCCTCCCTGGAGGGGTGGGAGGGGCACGAAACCATGTAAATAGTATGGTTTTCCGATACCCTCCTCGCTCAGGCGGGGCCTCCCTGGAGGGGTGGGAGGGGCACGAAACCATGTAAATAGTATGGTTTTCCGATACCCTCCTCGCTCAGGCGGGGCCTCCCTGGAGGGGTGGGAGGGGCACGAAACCATGTAAATAGTATGGTTTCCGATACCCTCCTCGCTCAGGCGGGGCCTCCCTGGAGGGGTGGGAGGGGCACGAAACCATGTAAATAGTATGGTATTCCGATACCCTCCTCGCTCAGGCGGGGCCTCCCTGGAGGGGTGGGAGGGGCACGAAACCATGTAAATAGTATGGTATTCCGATACCCTCCTCGCTCAGGCGGGGCCTCCCTGGAGGGGTGGGAGGGGCACGAAACCATGTAAATAGTATGGTTTCCGATACCCTCCTCGCTCAGGCGGGGCCTCCCTGGAGGGGTGGGAGGGGCACGAAACCATGTAAATAGTATGGTATTCCGATACCCTCCTCGCTCAGGCGGGGCCTCCCTGGAGGGGTGGGAGGGGCACGAAACCATGTAAATAGTATGGTATTCCGATACCCTCCTCGCTCAGGCGGGGCCTCCCTGGAGGGGTGGGAGGGGCACGAAACCATGTAAATAGTATGGTTTTCCGATACCCTCCTCGCTCAGGCGGGGCCTCCCTGGAGGGGTGGGAGGGGCACGAAACCATGTAAATAGTATGGTTTTCCGATACCCTCCTCGCTCAGGCGGGGCCTCCCTGGAGGGGTGGGAGGGGCACGAAACCATGTAAGTAGTATGGTTTTCGGTATGGAGTGGTATGGAATGGTATGGTAGGTATGGTATGGTACGGTATGGTATGATATGGTATGGTATGGTACTGGAGGTATGGTATGGTATGGTACGGTGTGGCATTGGTGTGATATGGTATGGTATGCTATGGTACGCCATGGTATGGTATGGTACGGTATGGTACGTATGGTGGTATGGTATGGTATGGTATGGTATGGTATGTGTGGTAGGAACTATGGTATGGTATGGTGTGTGTGGTAGGAATAATATTGTGCTGTATGGAAGATGGAGCGGGAGGTGGGTGGGAAGGAGAGGTTGTTCTGGGAAAACAAGAACCCCACTCAGGATGTGGGGAATAAAGATGGGGTTCCGATATCCTCCTCGCTCAGGCGGGGCCTCCCTGGAGCGGTGGGATGGTCACGAAACCTTGTAAACAGTATTGTTATGTGGTACCCTCCTCGCTCAGGCGGCGCCCCCCCTGGAGGGGGGGGAGGGGCACGAAACCTCGTAAACAGTATGGTTATCTGGTACCCTCCTCGCTCAGGCGACGCCTCCCTGGAGGGGTGGGATGGGCACGACATCTTTTCAAGAGTATGGTTATCGATGCCCTCCTCGCTCTGGCGGGGCCTTGCTTGAGGGGTTGGAGGGGCATGAAACCTTGTAAATAGTATGCTTATCCGATACCCTCCTCGCTCAGGCGGGGCCTCCCTGGAGGGATGGGAGGGGCACATAACCTTGTAAATACGATGGTTCTCCGATACCCTCCTCGCTCAGGCGGGGCCTCCCTGGAGGGGTGGGACAAGCGCGACACCGTGACATAAATATGGGGTTCCGGTATCATCCTCGCTCAGGCGGGGCCTCCCTGGAGCGGTGGGATGGGCACGAAACCTTGTAAGCAGTATGGTTATTTGGTACCCTCCTCGCTCAGGCGGCGCCTCGCTGGAGGGGTGGGAGGGACACGAAATCTTTTCGAGAGTATGGTTCTCCGATGCCCTCCTCGCTCTGGCGGGGCCTCGCTTGAGGGGTTGGAAGGGGCCCGAAACCTTGTAAATAGTATGCTTATCCGATACCCGCCTCGCTCAGGCGGGGCCTCCCTGGAGGGATAGGCGGGGCACATAACCTTGTAAATACTATGGTTCTCCGATACCCTCCTCGCTCAGGCGGGGCCTCCCAGGAGGGGGGGAGGGGCACGAAGCCTTGCAAATACTATAGTTCTCCGATACCCTCCTCGCTCAGGTGGGGCCTCCCTGGAGGGGTGTGAGGGGCACGAAACCATCTAAATAGTATGGCTATCTGATTAGCTCCTCGCTCAGGCGGCGCCTCCCTGAAGGGGTGGGGAGTGGTCGCGTGGTCGTGTGAGGAGGGAGGAAGGAGGGGGAGTGCGCCCTCCGCTCAAACGTGACGCACTGCGGGCCTGGCCAAGCGCAAACGAGACTCGCGCCGGAAAGAGAAGCGTTCTCGGGAACGCATCTACCACGCTCACGGTCCTGTCCTGGCCTACTGGTTCTTCTCCCTTCAGTCGGCTACACGCAGGAGTGATCCTTGGTGAGCGTGACCTCTGGTGCGCGGCTTTGTGGGGGCTGCGGGGGCACCAAGCACAAGCGCGCCAGGCGCTACTATCGCATTGCGGTCGGTGATCGGGGGACCCCGTTGGGCTCGCACCGAAGGTGACTTTGGCGAAGGGTCACTCTTACCTGTAGTCCGTTCAAGCCCTGGCAGGGCTCCTTCAGGTCGATCTCCCCCGACTGGTCGGTGTCGAACAGGTCGAACGCCTCCTTTTTGGACGCCCGAAAAGGGTATGGAAAACATAGGTACGATGCCCAACATCAGATCGTGTCCAAGACCGACTGCGACCACTGTCGGGCAGGCGGCTTTCTGCCTCGAGTGGACACAAGCCGCGGCGACAGACAGCGAGTCCTGCCCGAAAGGAGCAAGACCTGCTGTTGGGCATCGTGCCCATTCGTTCTGCACAGTGCTGGCGCGGCCGCAAGAAACCCTGGCAAGGAACCCAACCCTGAAAAACCAGCAGGCGCGAGACGCAAGTGGGGAGGAGCCCAGAGCACCCTGAACGCAACAGCTTCTTCAACGGCCACGAGAAGCAGCCGCGCAGAGCGAAGAAACCCAGGGCGCCCTGACGAACAACAGTTGGCTTCTGGATGCGCGCCCCCACTGTGCCCACTTCGTTCGTGCCGAACCCTGAGCCCCCAAAACGAGCCCAAAACTGTTGTCAACTCTTGGGTGAACATCTTTTACTTCCGCCACCTCCCGCCGCCCTTCCGCCTGCTTCCGCCGGCGGAGGCGGCCTTGTTTCACTTCCGCCGGCCTTCCGCCGACACTCCGCCGCCTTCCGCCGAGGAAGAGATGACAACTTTTGGGATCCTCGAAGGCAAGGCCCTTTTTGGAAAGCCCCATTTCGTTCGTGCCGATCCTTGATCTCCTCGATCTCGTCCTGCTTCAGGCCCGGCCGCTCATACTTCCGGGCCTCCGTGCAGGGGCGGCCAGGTGGGGGGGGGGGGGGGCGGGAGGCGCCGCGGCCCGCTGCTGGGCCTCGAGGCCTCGAGGCTTTTCGAAGCTGTTCGAGGCTTTTCTGTGCGCTCCTCGACGAGGCTTCGAGGCTGTTTGAGGCTTCGAGACTTCGTGCTCGAGGCTTTGTTTTGAGACGAAGCCAGGACGATGATAAAACCGGGTGAGGATAAATCGAGAATCTCTGCTGAGATCCAGCGACTCTGGTGGATGAATCTGGCGCCGCGGCCTTCTCAGAGCGTTCTGGAACGTTCTGAGAGCGTTGCAGAACGCTCTGGAACGGATTTATCCTCGTCCTGGCCCCGTCCGATGCTTTCCGTTTACAGTGCAAGATGCTTTACTCCTCGAGGCCTCGAACTTTGAGGATCGAGCTTCTCGCCGCCATGGCCGGATCCGCCTCCCCTCGGCGCCCATACATCGATGTGCCTTCGCTGCTTGTGTCTTCGCGGTCTTCGGCCTCTGGGAGCCGGATTCGGGCTCCAGGAGCGTCAGAAAACGGCTCAGAATGCGACATCCGCCCATAGGGGACAGGATCGGGACTTCCGTGGACCTCGGCTGCCCCGATACGCAACACGCAACCCCCAGCGCGTTGACACACGGAGCTCAGCACGTACACTGACAACGCAGGTCTGGCACGAGACGTTCGCCACAACGTGGGCCCCGGCGTGCCGAACCAACACGCAGCATTCTAGCACGGACGCTTTGAACACGGCACGTGCTGCGTTTCAAAAGGGGCGTACCAGGGCAGCTGGGCCGCGGACCCTACACTGAAAACAGTAAGGCGTCGGAGGTCTGGGACTCCTCTGAGATGCCCCCCCGCTCCCATGCCACCCACACTTCGCGGCCCCGCGCTTCGCGATGCGCCACGCGCAGTTGTCCTCGAGCGCTCGCGAGGCACCCTCGAGAATGCCAGCTCAGCGGCCCAGGCCGCGACGCGCGAAGCGCGGACCCAACTCCTCTCCCCTCCCCTGTCGTGGGTGATCCTCCTGCTCCGCTTCAGCACATTGCGCAAACCAAAAACCCGATGTCTCGATCTTTCCCGCACGGGGTCCCCGGGAGTCCCGACCAGTTCCCCATGGCCAGATTTTCATCCTGAGACGTATGCTGACGCTCCCGAACCCCAGGGCAGCCCGTAGAGGCCGACAACAACTAAGCATAACAACATGTCTTCGTTCAATCCCCACCCGACAAGTTGGGGTGGTCATGCTGAAAGAAGAGAGCTCCCAACCCGCGTCGTACAACCTGCACATTGTGGCCGCGAGGCCCCACGGGACCCGCGCTCCCTGGGTTCCAAGTATCTCGCCTCGCGCTTGGAAGGAGGGGCCCAGGGGTACACAACAAAAACAAACACACATCCCAAGTTTCCCATTTTTCCCATCTTTTCCGGGTTTTCGTCCCCCCCCCACACTTCCCATATTTTCGCAGATCTTCCTGGGAATCGACGATCCTTTGTGACTGTGCGTTTTCTGCCTCATGACTGAACGCGTAACGACCGCACACCCCGGCCGCCAGCCCTCATCGGGGCCCGCTGCTCCTGCGGGGATCCCCTCGCCTCGCGCCCTCGGGCGGGGCCTGCCCGAGGCAAAAAACAATACACATCTGCTGCCGAGACCGTGGGGTGCCCGGGGCGGCGGCCCCTCGACCACACGCCAGAGCCAAGGAGTGACCCTCGGCAAGAGTTGAAGGGGAACTGGGACACACAAATGAATACACACAAATAAACATATCCCCCATATTTTCCCATATTTTCTGGGAATCGCCGATTAATAGTGTCTGTGTGTTTTTTCCCCTCCTGAAGAGTGGCTCTTGGTGCGCGGCTTCGGGAGGGCGCCGAGGGGGGCCCGACCTGGGCGCACAGGCCGCTGCCGTCGCACCGCGCGCAACGATCGGGGCGATCGCCAGGAGCCCGCGCGGCCGGGCCGGACCTGCCGGGCCGGCCTCTGAGCAGAAACTGGCTTCGCCATGGCTTAGCCAGTGGCCCGAGGGGGCGCCCAGCCAGGGGGCCAAGGCAGGGGGATGCGGTGGGTTCGTGAAGCGTCGCTCGACCTTGAGCCGATCGCGGCCAGGATCGTTCAAGATTGAACTCCGACGGGTCCAGTGGCGTCATCGTGTCCCTCGGTTCTTCCGCGTCGCAGGACTCAACCTTGAACGCCCTCGCAAGCGTCGCCTGCGCGACAACGCCGCGGGGACCTAATGTGGGCGGCCTCCTCGTGCTCTTGCGCTCCCGAACCCCGAGCCCACCCCGAGAGGCCGACAACTACTAGAAACGTGCCTTCGCTTGATCCCCACCCGACATGGGGGGCGGCCAAGAGGGGGGCGTCCAAGAGGGAGGGGGGGGAGGGCAAATCATGGCCGGCGGCATGTGCGCGGCCCAAGGGGGGTGGCCAAGGACGCATTGAAATAAGAAGAGGCGCCATGAAATCTGGGGAGATATTATGGCCCACGCGATGATGTCCCCCCCCCAGTCATCACCCCCCTCTTGCCGCCCCCGAATGTCTTCGCTTGATCCCACCCGACAGGTGGGGGTGGCCAGGACCCGCCTCGGCCTGCCGGGCTTTGGCGGCGCGTGCGCGGGGGGAATTGCGGAGGGGGCGGGCCTTTTCTCAGAAGGCTCGGAAGTTCCCCGGCCTTCTGACAGGTGCTCGAAGCCTTCCCCGAAGACACTTCTCAGAGGGCCGGAGGGCCTCGGAGAAGCTCCACCGCCTTCTGAGCAGGCCTTCTGCTCCTGCTTCTCGCTCTCCCTCCCTCGCTCGAGGCCGAGGGCTGGCCGCATCAGACATTGGCTCTGCTATGGCTCAGCCAATGGCCCGAGGGGGGCCCTCAGCCGTGGGCCCCCCCCCCAGGGGACCCAAGGCAGGGGGAGAGGGGCAGCCTCCTAGTGCTCGTGCGCTCACGCGTCCTGCTTCGGGCGCGGGCGCTCGTACGGCAGGTTCGCGTCGTGCCGACCCCGGCGTTGGTTCTTGACACCGCGGGGACCGTTCAAACTTGAACGATCGGCCGTTCCATTCACGCCGGATCGTTAAACGACGGGCCTACGGGCGGCGTTCAGCCTTAAACGCACACGACGCGGCACTGCCGTATGCTGCACGCGGCGGCGCCCGCCCGCGGCCGCGGGGGCGCGGCGGCGCTGGATGCCTCTCCCCGCTGCTGCCTGCCTTTTGCTCCCGACCCTCGAAGATCGAGGATCGAGGATCGGGTGGGTGGTCATGGGCGGGGGGACCCCCAAAGATCGAGGCTCTAGAATCGATAACAAGGCTCGAGCTGAACACTGTATATTTCGTTTTCGTTTTGGTTTCATTTTCCCTCGCTCTGTCGTCGTCCCACCTCTGCTGCGGAATCAACTCAAAATGAAAACGGCCCACGAAATCGCCGGACCACCGTGCAGCTCCAGCCCTGGGGTGGGGGGGGGGAGCCCAAAAATCGAGGTTCGAAGATCAGGAGCGTCTGGCCGTCTCAGAGCCGATACGGCCCGATTCGACGAACATGTCGATTCGATCCGATTTCCCGATTTGATTCCCATTGATCCTGGCAAGCCCCACCCAGTGGGCCAGGGTTCCTCAGCGCCACTGCAGACCTCTCAAGGATCGAGGCCCTGAATGGGGGTTGAAGAAAGGGCTCTTAATTGCCCGTTGGGGCCCCTTCTCATGTAGGCCACCCCCCATGATCACCCGCCCGGGTGGATCGAGGATGGAGTTTCAGGTGTATCCAGGGACGTCATTTGGGCGTCTTTGGCCCTGCTCTGTCAGAGGGCAACAGAGACACCCTCACAACAAGCACCTCTACGTACGAAACCATGTCGTAAACGCACCCGAGGAAAGAACCGACCAACCAAGGCAGAACTGTTTCGTGAACGCTCACTTATGTAAGCCGGGGTGTGATATCATGCCTTGGCTTTGAGTTGTGTTTCCGGAAACCTCCAAGGACTTCTGAGGATAAGTCATGGGCCATGGGGACAGGACAAGGAGCGGCGGTAGAACCTGCCATACGCTGCAGATGCTCCTCTACAACTCTGGCTCCCACGCGCAAGCGATAAGAAGCGTCGCCAAGCTGCCCAAGCTGCCCAAGCAGGCCCATGACTCCTGTGGCCCCCCAATGGGAGTGGTTGAGGCACTTCCGTGGGGCATCTGGTGGCAAGCTGGTTCCTGATGTTACGCTCTTCCTTCTGTGCACACGTGTCTTCGTGCACATGCGCTGTTGCTGCTGCCGTGCTCGTGCTGCTTCGATCCCTTGTCACTCGTCGCCGTCGTCGTGGCCGTCCTACTCCTCCCGGGCGGCTGGAGGAATACTACATGGTGCTCGACAGCGCCACGCGGCTCGTGCACCACCAGTGCCCAAGCCACGCCGAAGGGCCTGGCAAGGTGCTTGCCGACCCTGCCCCGTCCCGACGCTGTAGGAGACAACGTCGGATGGTGTCGCCAAGTTTCGTGGACAAAGTTCCCTGTCGACGGTCGTCTTCGCCAATCCTCGCCAATTGCCGGCAGTCGGCTTGACCGGCGGTTGGCTTGACCAGCGGCCGTCGTCGCCAGGGTCGTCTTCACCGGCGGTGGCCTGCGACGGCTGTCGTCTGCGCCTGCGGTCGTCTTCGCTAGCGGAGGAACGGGCTTACCAACGAGAGAGCGGGCGGATCCTAACCCGGGTCGGGTGGGCGGACCCTCACGGGCGGGAGTCGGGCGGGCGGACCCTGAGTTAATGTCTGCTAGGGTCCGCTTAATTTCCGACCGATCCGTTAGGGTCCATGACGGGTCGGTCGGGACACTGAAACGGGCGGGCGGGCTTGCAGGCAAGCGAGCGGGTGTAACCTAGCGAGCGGGTTGGAGGCCCCGGGGGGACTGCGGACCCTAACGGGCGTGGGCGGGTCGGGCGGGCAGACCCTAACGAGCCGGTCGGGGGGGGCGGGAGATTGAAGCGGGCAGGCTTGCCATCGAGCGAGCGGGAGGACCCTAACGAACGAGTCGGGCGAGCGGATCCTAGCTGGTCGGGCCGATGACCAGGCGCAGACGACTGGGCAAAGACGATCTGACACATACGACCTGGCGAAGACGACCGCGGCTGGTCGTGATCCTCCTCACCCTCTTCCTTGTCTGCTGCTGCTGCTGCTCCTCCTAATCCCCCTCCTCTTGCTCTTTTCTGCTGCTGCTGCTCCTCCTCCTCCTCCTCCTCCTCCTCCTCCTTCTACTGCTACTCGTTCGTGCCCCTACCCTCTTCTGCTCTTCCTTCGGCCCTTTCCTCATCCTCTTCCTCCGCCTCCTCCTCCTCCTCCTCCTCCTCGACCTCGTCGTATTCTTCCTGCTTCCACTCGAGGTGTGCCGCAAAAAGCTGGGGCCGAGAGCGTGGATCGCGTTTTTCCACGACGCCCCCCCGCCCCCCCTTGCAGAGGTCCCTGCTGGTCCGCGGAGGCGCCCCGAGGCCTTCGCAGGCCCCCGGAGGCCTGACAAAAGAAGGCAAGCTCTACCTCAGCGAGGGCCCCGAGCAAGAAGCTGATGCAGCCTGCGCTTGCTGTGGACTGCAGAGAAGTGCACATCCACGAACAGACGGCCGCGGGGCGGCAGCGGGGCGGGAACGGCACTGGGGCGTGGGCGGGGCGGGCACGATCCGGAACAGCAGCCAGCCCCCCAAAAGCCACCAGCCCGAGTGAGGGCCCCCCCCTCGGTGCCGAGCGCTGCCCGAGTGCCCTCGGTGCCGAGCGCTCGGTGCCCTCGGTGCCAAATTATCAAGGTGCCCTCGGTGCCGAGCGCTGCCTGAGTGCCGCCCGAAAACCTCTGGCTGCTCGATGCCTGGGCCCTGCTGCTGCTGAGAGCGCCGCGGCCGCGCCTGGAAGTTCTGGTGCTTGGTCCTGCTCGCCTGCATGGCTGCAGGCTCCGACGCGGAGCCGAGGTCTGCAGCCGACACGGCTGCGGCTCCCGGGCGGGCGCCGTGGCCGCCGCGCGCCGCCGCCGGCCCCAGGCCGCCTCGAGTCGCGACAGAAACCACGGGTTGCGTCGCCAGCGCGCGCGACGTGTCGAAGAGCGCTGCCGTCTCGACCTCGTTCTCCAGACATGCGATGGCCTGCTTTGTTCAATGCGGAATCCCCCGAGGTGCCGACCCTGTCCCCAAGGCCGTGTCTTCGTCCCGAGTCTTTTTTGACGGTCCCGGGCTTGGCGATGGACCCTGGAGACCGAAAACTACGAACAACCTGTCTTGACTTGTTCTATGCGATACAGGTTTTGGTCTCTTCATCGTAAAACAGAGGTGCGACGGGCCATGGGGGAGATCTATTTGGACGTGGGCTGACGTCAAGTCTCAACTCTCTGGAAAAACATCGACGAGGGGACCGAACGAAAACCCGAATAAAGAGCAAAACGAGGGCTGGAAGGCGAACCCGACAGGGGCCTACCGAGGACGCCGAAAGGGCCGCGAAGACCCAGGGAGAAGGTCCGAGAAGACCCAGGGATCGCCCGACGCGCGGGTGACAGACGGGATCAGGGAGCTGGGCGGCGCAGGGTCGAGAACACAGCAGGAGCTGGTCCTTTCATTGCCCTCCTCGTCCGCCTCTCCTCCGCCTTCCCCCTGGACCCCCAGGAGTCCGCTATGAGCTCCGAGAGCACCAGCAGCACCGATGGACCACCCCAAACTGCGTAAATCCTCTGCCCCATCCGCTTCCCCCTACTCTTCCCGCCCCCCCCCAACTTTGTCGTACAATCGGACCTAAGCCAGGATCCGGCCAGAACACGAGACCCTCTGCCGGCCAAAACAAACAGAATATCTAAGGGGGCCCTCCCCCAGGATGAACAAGAACATCCAACAAGCAGGAAGGCCACTAGGGTACCCTCTCCGAACCGACCTCGGTCTTGTACCTCGGTCCGACCGTAGTCGTCGTCGTCGTCGTCGTCGTCGTCGTCGTCGTCGTCGTCGTCGTCGTCGTCGTCCTCGTGCTCGTTGTCGTCGGCCTCGTCCTCGTCCTCGTCAACGTCCTCCTTCCTCTCCGCTTCTCCCCCTCCCCCTGGACACGGAAGCGGGGGCGAGTCTATGTTCGATCACTGCGCCCGCAAGCAGACAAGAGAAGATTGGGGTCTGCTGGGCTACCCTGCAACTTCCAACCCCAGCTCGCTTGCCCAAGTGAAGCCACTCCGGAGTCAGGAGTCCCTTCGAGAGAGCATGGCCTTCATGTCCTCCTCCTCCTCCTCCTCCGCCTCCACTCCTCCTACAGGAACCGAAACTTCAGCACATTTCACTCTGCACCGATCGAGGGCGGCTGCTTGGTCTTTCAAGGGGGAGCTTCTTGCACTGAAGGAAAGACTTGTGAGGAATTATGAGGAGAGGACTTCGGGCGAAAGGGTGTACTGCAGCATCGCTGATGCATCTTGGGTTCATTCTAGTCCTCCCCCTCCTCCTCCTCCCTCCTCCTCCTCCTCCTCCTCCTTCTTCTCCCTCCTCCTCCTCCTCCTCCTGCTCCTGCTGCTCCTCCTCCTCTTCCTCCTCCTCCTCCTCCTCCTCCTCCTCCTCCCTCGAAGCCCTCCCTCGCTCCCTCCCCCTCCTCCTCCCTCTCCTCCTCCACGCACGCGGCGCGCGCAAGCCCCTCTCCCCGCCCCGGCGCGTGGCGCTCGCGCGCGCGAGCGAGCCGCCTCGGTCGCCCGAGGAGCTGGAGCTCGCCGCTGACCTCGGTGCAGCAGTGCTGCGCTCCAGGCCGCGCTACGCAAGAACAGCGGTGTGCGTGCGCGGCGGGAGCAAAGCTGTGGGAGGCCTGAGCCGCGGCACTCAGCTTGACAGCCATTGAGCATCTTATCTCCTGATGCCGAACCTCATCATCAACTCTTGATGGCAACAGCAATCCTTCGCGAAGCAATCAAACCATAGCCGATGACCACGCTGCTATCGGTCTCATGAGCTGGGGGCCGTACAGCGAGGATCGGTTACAACAAACAACTGCCTTGCCCAGCGAACAATCTACAGCAATGGCTACCCATCTTGCGCATCACGTGCACACACACACACACACACACACGCACGCTACCGCATGTGTAGAACCAATGCTCCGATCATGCCAGTAAAACGTCAAAACGAGGCAACCTGTAGAGCACATGATCGGGACTTTGCTGGGTCTCCCAATATATGTGGAAGACTTCGTACGCACGAGATGACCTTACTGAAAATGTCAACCTTCACTTCCGCCGAACTCCTTAAAACTTTCGCCAATGGGGGCGCCGTCGTTTCACTTCCGCCGGCTTCCGCCAAACTTCTGCTGGCATGCGCCAAGGGAGGGATGTCAATCGTCGGATTTCCTGAAGATCAAAGTTGTTGTAACGCTGTACGTGGACATCGTGGTGAAAACGAAACGTGCGAGGTGTGGCCCATCATATGTTCACGAGAAATACCACTGGAGCTCCTTATCGGGGGGAAGAAATGCGTGACGGGCAGGCCTCTCTGGGTCCACGGAAAGACCGGCAAGAGGAGCCAACGGGCTATATGAGGAAGAGGAGGAGGAGGAGGAGGAGGAGGAGGAGGCGAGGATGAGGGCGGGGGAGTGGAGGCCGCCCAAATAGGGTCCGAGCAACTGGAGTCGTAGTATAGCCTCGCGTCGACTATGCATCAGCGATGCATCGGCGATGTCGGCATGCATCGGCGATGCTGGCATGAAGAACATCGAGCTCCGAACCGAGCCGCATCGCCGATGCATCGTCTACTCGTACCCCTTTCGGGCGGCTGTAGGGGAGAGAGGGAACGAGCGCGCGGCCAGGCAAAATCGAGGGATGACCAGGGGCAAAGAAAGCCGTGGGACCCAGCCATATCATTCGATCTGTTTTTTTAGATCCGCTGCTCCAAGAACTCCCGACTTCTTCCCTGGGGGTAGTTTTTCGTCCTCGATTCTTTTTTGATGGCCCCGAATCCAGAAAGCGGCCCCTGGAGGACGAGTCTGAAGGAAAGACGCCAGGATAGAAAACATCATATAGTCGGAGGTCTGGAGACGTAACTTCTGAAAGGGAAGAGAACTGTGCACGTACACCGGTCTGGGCCAGGCCCATCCTGGGCCCAGGATGGGCCCGGTGGGGGTCGGTCGGTGTGTGTGTGTGTGTGTGTGTGCACCGCTTCCTTCGCCCGAAACGTTTTGACGTCGCAAGCCGCGCAGCGCACGGGCAACGGAGTCTACGCGTGAGCACGTGGGTGCAGGTGGCGGTCGTGTCCGCCTGCGCCCACGCGCTTCACGCGGGTCGCACAGGCCACACCGCTCGCTCTGGCAGCGCCAGGCCAGACATGCCACTACTCCCGCGACTGCCGACACGGTCAGGGACTCTTGCTTGGCGTGTCGCGGCGGCGGGCCCAGCGACCATGCTAATCATGGCCTGCGAGCTGATAGCGTGTCGCTACGCTCCGCGGGGGCGGGAGGCCGGGAAAGGCTCGGAAGGCTGACGCCTGGGGGCGGGGACGTGATTGGCGTGTCGCGCCGCAGCGTGGTGGGCCAGAACTGGCGGCGCGACACGCCGAGCCATATGTCCCGAACGTAGCACCACTACACACGCGAGCACGACAGGCTCGCGTCGTGCCGATTCCGGCGTTGGTTCCTGGCACCGCGGGGATCGTTCAAACTTGAACGATCGGCCGTTCCGCGAACGCCTGATCGTTCAACGACGGGCCGCTTCTGGGCCACGGGCGGCGTTCAACCTTGAACGCTCGGGGGTTGCTAAAGGTGCCCCTGGCCCTAGGTACCAGCTTTTCGCTTAGTTTTGGGGCCCCTGGGGCCCTCTGGACCTCGTGAGGAGTACTCTGGGTGCCGTGGGGGCCTCCTCGGAAGTCCTGGGGGCACCTTGGGCCAAGGGCACTTCTAGCAACACCCGAAACGCACGCGCTGGGGTCGCCGCCGGTCGGTTCGAGGCGAACCTGCCGTGCATGCACACACGCGCCACTGCTGGCGCGGTCCAGGTGGCAGCGCACCAGGCATGTGGCAATACCTAACGCACACCCAGAGCCCTCCGACGCCGTCGGTGTTGCACGTGGGCTCGGGACCCCCCGACCCTAAAGGTGCCATCTATGTTTCGCAGCGGGCGCTGCTGAGGGCCCTGACTAGGGTTAGGTCGGGCATGTCCTCCTACAGACGGATTTTGGGCGAAAGACACATGATACCAGAGATAAACCCAATCACAGTCATTTTTGGGCTACAGGGCTATGGGGCTTTTGGGCTATAGGGCGGTTGGTCTATGGGGCTATAGGGTTATGGAACTATAGGGCTATATGGCCATAGGGCTATAGGTCTATAGGGCTATAGGGATATATGGCTGTAGTGCTATGGGGCTTTGGGGCTATAAGACTATAGGGCTGCAGTGCCATAAGGAAGGCAATGGGGCTACAGAGCTATATGGCTATATGGCTATTCGGCTATTGGGCTGTAGGGCTTTGAGGCTATAAGGCTATAGGGCTGTAGGGCTATAGGGTTATGGGGCTATAGGGCTATAGGACTATAGGGATATATGGCTATAGGGCTATGGAGCTCTAGGGCTTTAGGGCTCCAGGGCTTTTGGGCTGTAAGGCTACAGGGTTATAGGGCTATAAAGTTACAGGGCTCTAGGACCATGAGGCTACAGGGCTATAAGGCTACACAGCTATTGGGCTACACGGCTATAGGGCTATAAGGCCATCGGGCTGTGGGTCTATAAGGCTATGAGGCACCCGGGCTGGCCGCGGAAATCGGTAGCACACCTCACGTAACCATCTGAATCCGCTTGGACCCCTACAGAGACAAGATCCGATTGGAACAAATCATCAAACAATACTCAATGATACTGGTCAATCAAAAAAGCTCCAATCAAAGTCTTTTTAGGGCTCTAGGGCTGAGGGGCTATTGGGCTATGGGGCTATTGGGCTAAGCACGGACTGGTTTCGCCCAGGTTCGCCGGCGCTGGTTTCGCCCGACGCTGGTTTCGCCGGCGCTGGTTTCGCCCCGCTGGTTTCGCCCCGCTGGTTTCGCGGACCCTAACAGGCGGGCCGGGTCGGGCGGGCGGGACATTAAAGTGTGGTGCATATAATCGAGAGGCCACGCGAGAACCCTTACGGTCGGGTCGGGTCGGGTCGGGCGGACCCTAACGGGCGGGTCGGGTCGGGTCGGGCGGACGCTGGTCGGGTCGGGTCGGGTCCAGCGGCCCTAACCCTCTTCCCTCCTCCCTCCGTCCTGCCCTCCCTCAGCCACCTCCTCCACCACTTCCACCTCCACCTCTCCTCCCCCACCTCCCCCACCTCCTCCTCCCTCCTCCCTCCCTCCTCCTCCTCCTCCCCATCATCCTCGTGATTCTACTCCCTCTCATGCCTCCTCCTCCTCTCCTCCTCCTCCTCCTCCTCCTCCTCCTCCTCCTCCTCCTCCTCCTCCTCCTCCTCCCTCCTCCTCCTCCTCCTCCTCCTCCTCCCCTCCTCCTCCTCCTCCTCCTCCTCCTCCTCCTCCTCCCTCCTCCTCCTTCCTCCTCCTCCTCCTCCTCCTCCTCCTCCTCCTCCTCCTCCTCCTCCTCCTCCTCCTCCTCCTCCTCCCTCCTCCTCCTCCTCCTCCCTCCTCCTCCTCCTCCCTCCTCCTCCTCCTCCTCCTCCTCCTCCTCCTCCTCCTCCTCCTCCTCCTCCTCCTCCCTCCTCCTCCTCCTCCTCCTCCTCCTCCCTCTCCTCCTCCTCCTGCACCTCCTCCAGCAGCCGGGCAAAACCAGCCGGGCGAAACCAGCCCGGGCGAAACCAGCTTCGGGCGAAACCAGCCTGGGCGAAACCAGCGCCAGGCGAAACCAGCAGGGCGAAACCAGCTGGGCGAAACCAGCCACGGGCGAAACCAGAGGTTCCCATGGGGCTATCGGGCTATGTGGTTATAGGGCTATAGAGCCATAGGGCTATAGGTCTATAAGGCTATAGGACCATGAGGCTGTAGGGCCATGAGGCTATAGGGCCATAGGGATATAGGGCTGTAGGGCTATAGGGCCATGGGGCTATGGGGCTCTGGGGCTATAGGGCTATGATTATATAAGGCTATGGGGCTATAAGACTATGGGACCATAGGGCTATAGGGCTACAGGGATATAGGGCTATGGGGTTATAGGGCTATAGGCATTTAGAGCTATAGGGCTATGGGGCTATGCGGCTATAAGGCTCTGGGCTATGCACTAGGGATATAGGGCTATGGGGCTATTGGACTATGGGGCTCTTGGGCTATAGGGCTATAGGGCTACAGATCTATAGGTCTACAGGGCTATAGGACTATCGAGCTATATGGCTCTAGTGCGACAGGGCTTTAGGGCTGTAAGGCTATAGGGCTATAAGGCTATAGGGCTATCGGGCTATACGGCAATAGGGTTATGGGGCTATAGGGCTATAAGGCTACAAGACTATAGGGCTATCGGGCTAAAAGACTATGAAACACCCGGGCACCCGGGCACCTGGGCTCCCGGGCGGGCCGCGGAAACGGTGGCAAACCTCACGTAACCATATGAATCCGCTAGGACCCCTACAGAGGCAAGCTCTGATTGGGGAAAAATCATCGAACATACTCAAACAAATCGTCCCCAGACTGCTTTTGACTATATTGCATATTCCTCATGTAGACGGACAGGCCCGACTTCAGACTAGGGACCAGAAACCATCGCACCCTCTGGGGCGATACAGAAGCTACCAAATCATGCGGCCATGCTTCAGTACCCAGCGAGCCAGCACAAGGCCGGCGCGCAGCAACCCCCAAGAACATCCAAGATGAGAACAGCCGAGAACACGACGCCCTAGCCGCCGCTCCAGCCCCACCGTCCCCACCCTCGCCTTCTCTCTCGCCCTGCTGCTTGCCCTTCCGGCTGCCCTCGCCCTTCGCCTCGCCACCCCGGCTGCCCTCGCCGTGGCCCTCCCGCGCTGCCCTCGCCCTTGTCGCCTTGCTCCTGCCCTCCCCCACGCCACCGCTCCCCCTGCGGCCCCACGCCCCTCACCCTCGCCGTGTCGCTGGCGCTGGCCCCTCCCCCCATCCACTCCTCCTCCTCCTCCTCCTCCTCCTCCTCCTCCTCTCCTCCTCCTCCTCCTCCCCTCCCCCTTCTTCTTCCTCCTCCTCCTCCTCCACCTTCTTCCTCCTCCTCCTCCACCTTCTTCCTCCTCCTCCTCCTGTTTGTCCTCCTCCTCCACCGTCTCCCTTTCCTCCTCGTCCCCGTCCCCCCTCCCTTCCTCGTCCTCGCGCTTCGTCATCCCCCTCGCCCTCTGGCTTCTCGCCCCCGCCCCCGCCCTCTGCCGCCGCCCCACCTCGTGCTCTTGCTGCTGTCGATCCTTTCGTCGTCATCCCTCTCGTCGTCGTCGCCGTCGTCGTCGTCGTCGTCGTCGTCGTCGTCGTCGTCGTCGTCATCCCTCTCGTCTTCGTCCTCGTCCTCGTCGTCGTCGTCGTCGTCCTCGTCCTCGTCGTCCTCGTCGTCGTCCTCGTCGTCCTCGTCGTCGTCCTCGTCGTACTCGTCGTCCTCGTCGTCGCCCCCTCCCTCGTCATCGTCGTCCCCTTGTCGTGTCTCTCCCTCGTCGTCGCCTCTATCTCCGCACAGCCCCCGTCCGCCCTCCCCCGGCCCCCTCCCGCCAAGACGTCTCGCAAGCCAGAGCCGCCCGGTGCCGCCTCGCCCCTGGCCCGCTGCAGCCTCGCGAGGAGAAGCGCGCGCACAGGCCCTGCGCCCGACGACGCGCGCGGGCGCGTGCTGGTGAGACTCCACGGGCGGCCGCGCGCGGCTGCAGAAAGTGGGGGGCCTTCCGCCCCAGTGGTCGCGCCAGCGGAGCGAGGAACGAAGAGGGGAGAGACCGGCGCACTCCACTCTCTGCCTCCCCGCTGCGCTGCGCAGAGCATTCGCACGGCCCCCTCCTTCGTGTCAGGCGCCCCGCGCGGATTAGACCGATCCCCATGAGAGGCCAGCGATAAAACGGAGAGAGATGGACAAAGAGAGACACGTGTCTCTCTATCTCTCTCTCTATATATTTATATATATAGATATAGAGGGAGAGGGAGAGGGAAAGAGAGAGACAAAGAGAGAAATACACATATATATATATATATATATATATATATATATATACATATATAGAGAGAGAGAGAGAGAGAGAGAGAGAGAGAGAGAGAGAACGACGACGACGACGACGCCGCCCCGCTGGATGCACGCAGGGCTGCCGCCCTCGGGAGGTGGCGTCGGCTTGGCGTCACGCCGCGAGGAGGAGGAGGAAGAGGAGAAGGACGGGGAGGAGGGGGAGGAGGGAGAGGGGGAGGGGGAGGAGGAAGAGGAACACCACAAGGAGGAGCTCGGCGACGAGGAGTAACAGGTCAACGAATTGAGGAAGTACAGTCAGTGAGGACGAGTAGGAGGCCGAGGATGACACGATGAGGCGGAAGAGGACGCGAATCAGGAGGATGAGGAGAATGTGAAGTGGGACGAGATCGGTAAGATGAAGAGGATGCCGAAAAGGAGGAGAAAGACGAGGTTAGGATGAACGTGAGGAGAGGGGGGAGAAGGAGGTGGAGTGGGAGGGCAGGCGAGAGAGGCGAGAAGGAGGATGTCCAGGAGGAGCGTGTCGATGACGAGGATGACGACGGGGCATGCCCGTCAAGAGCAGGAAGACGGTCAAGACCGACCCTGATTTTGAAAACGTTCTTTCGGGATGCGGGACTCTGTTATTAATAATGATATTAAACATGCGAGAACTGATATTACACATACTGACATATATATATATATGTGTTTGTATGTATATATGTATGTATGTATGTATGTATGTATGTATGTATGTATGTATGTATGTGTGTGTATGTATGTATGTATGTATGTATGTATGTATATATATATGTATGTATGTATGTATGTATGTATGTATGTATGTATGTATGTATGTATGTATGTATGTATGTACGTGTGTATACATGCATGTATAGAAACATGTACATACGCATGCATGCATGTATGCATGCATGCGTGTATGTTTGTAGGCTCGCATGCATGTATATATGCATATATGTGCGTATAGGTGTATGTATGTATGCACGTGTGTATGTATGTATGTATGCATGCACGCATGTATGTACGCATGTACGCATGCGTGTATATGTGTATGTAGGTATACATGTATGTATGTGTGTATGCATGTATGCCTGTATGTATGTAGGTATCTACGTGTGTAGGTACGTATTGATGTATGTAGGCATGTGTGAATGTATGTCTGCTGTAGGTATGCAAGTGTGTATGCGTGTGTGTATGACTGTATATATGTATGCCTACATGTATATATGTACGTATGCGTTTATGCACGCATGTATACATGTATGTATGCATGTATGCATGTATGTATGCGTATACAGACATACCAGAATGAGGGGGGCAAACGGTCATTCAGTTTCCCTCAGTGCGTGGCTGAAGTGAGAATCCGTGGTGAGGAGTATGCTTGTTGCGTTGCTGTTGTCGTTGTTGCTGTTGTTTGTTGTCGTCGTCACCCCCGCGACCCACCCACGACCCACCCCGCGACCCACCCCGCGACCCACCCCGCGACCTACCCGCGATCCACCCGCCACCCACCCCGCGACCCACCCCGCGACCCACCCCGCGACCCATCCGCGACCCACCCCGCGACCCACCTGCGACCCTCCCACGGCCCCCCCCCCCCGCAACCCACCCGCGATCCGCCCGCGACCCACCCGCGACCGATCCGCATTGGTTTGAAGAAGAAATCGGCGCCTGCGGCGGGCTCGTTGCATACTGTGTGAAACTTTGGCGCCTGCGGCGGGCTTCCCCAGAGTCTCGCAGAGTGCCGACGTCCCCACCGCCCCCTCACTCTTATCCGCATCTGCGGGGTGCTACGACTATATGTGTGGACGGGGCGGCCAGGGGGTACGACCCCATGGAGATACCCGAACCGAATCTCATTCCAAGGTGGAAATTCCAAGCACGAAGGGCATGAGGGTCCCCTCCCGAGCCGCGGCTGTTCTTAACCCTCGTGCCAACTGCACGGTGTGTCCCTCAACTCGCACAGGGCTTTCGCCGTTGAGGCACCGTGGGATCCTGGCCTTTCCAGCGGGCGCTCGCCTTGGTGCTACGCAGCGCTTGTGATGACCCCCGAGGAGGGGACTCAGGACGGCATGGCTGTAACATGGTACTCCTCCTTCTCTCTCCCCTCAATTCCCTCCTCCCTTCTCCATTTCTCCTCTTTCCCTCCTCCCTCCCCCTCCTTCCTCCCCCCCCTGGTCCCTGCTCCTCTTCCTGCTGCCCCTCCTTCCGCCTGCCCCCCCCTTCCTTTTCCGCTGTCCACCCTCTCCCATCTTCGTCCCCCGTCTCCCAACTCTTGCTCCTTCCCCTCCCTCTCTTCTCCATCCGCCCACTTCATCCTCCTTCTACCTCCTCCCTCTCCCGCCTCCCTCCGCCGCTTTCCCTTCCCTCTACCTCCTCCCCCTCCTCCAACCCCTCCTTCTCCATCCGCCCCTTCCCCACGGCTGAAGGAGGCTCGAGCGGGAAAAGAGGGCGGGCTCCAGCAGGAGGAGGGGGCCAGCGGGCCCAGCAGGGTGCCCGCCCATGCCGCGTCACAGCGGGTGGTACCTGAACCAGTACTCATGCCACACCTTCAGCTCCACCTCTGCGCGGCGGGGAGGGGGGTCGATGAGGAGGGGCGACGAGGAGGGGGAGGATGACCAGTGTAAACCCAAGAGGCATCAACGATGTTGGAATACACCCTCTCTCCAAGCTTCCTCGTAGGCCCCTAGTTCGTTCTTGCTGAAGGAACCGCCTCGTTGGAAGACAACTGTTTGAAGCCCCTGAAGCATGCCAAGACATTGTTTTCGGGATCCCGACGCCACGGATCAGCCTGACTGTTGCATATTGACGATCCTGAATCATACCAGGACGCCGTTCCTAGGTTCTGAACACCGCGAACCAACATGACTTGTGCACCCTCATAAACCTGAATCCTTCCAACACATCATTTCCGATACGCTGATCATGGGGATCCGTGGAACTCTTGCTATGTGTTTAGACGAATGTACGCGGCGCTGAGGCGAGAGCCACATTTTGAAAAGGAGCCGCCCTCAATCCGTGAACCTGCTGTAACTGTTTAAAACGAATGCACGCGGCCCCAAGGCGAGAGCCACATTTCGAAATCCACCCGCCCTCTCTTTGTTACACGGTTGTCAACTGTTTAAACAAATGCGCGCGGTGCTAAAGCGAGAGCCATACTTCAAAACCACCCACCCTCCATCTGTGAAGCTGTTGTGAATTTTTAAACTTCCGAATCATCAATGGTGAGGAAGTCTCAAGCGAAACGCCCCGCCCTAAAAACTGGCCTCGGGGTGCGACAGGGAGACATCATTTCTAAGGAGACGGAATGGAGGAGGAGGAGGAGGAGGAGGAGAAGGAGGAGAGGAAGAGGGGCGAGGAGCAGTGAGAAGGATTATGATGACGAGGGCAATTCTGCGGAGCGTGGGCTATGACGAGGACGATGAGGAGGAGGAGGAGGAGGAGGAGGAGGAGGAGGAGGAGGAGGAGGATTGAGCCGGCAGGCGAGAAGGGGGGAGAAGGGGGGGGCGTCAGGAGTCTGTGCTCTATCTCTCTCCCTCTTTCCCTCCCCGTCTCTCTGCCTCTTTCTGTCCCCATTCCCTCTGCAATCGCGCAGCATGAGTACGATCCACCTCTCCCCATGACTCTGTCCGAGCATGGTCTCTCTCTTTTTCAACATGCTGCTTATAATTACTTTAATTCGAACAAGCTTTAAACACTTGATTTGTTATATTCGTTTCGAGTGTCGCGTGTTTGATGCTTCACAGTGGTGCTCTCGCTGCAGCGCTGGCCTCACTTCAGGACCGGCGCGTTGCCCCCGTCGCTCAGAGCAGCGGTCTTGCCCCGACGCGGGCCACACATCTAAATCCAGATCATGTTTCGTCGCTGTCGCCCCCCTCCTCTCCCCTCCTCCCCCATCCCCCTGGTCCTCTCTGCTTCTTACGCTCCTGCTACTCCTGCTGCTGTTTCTTCTCCTCCTCCTCCTCCGCTTCCTCCTCCCAATCATCATCCTGCTCCTCCTTATCCATCATATTCCTCTTCCCCTCCTCCTTTTCCCATCCGCCTCCTCCTGAACATCCTCCTGCTCATCCACCACCTCCTCCTCCTCCTCCTTCTTATACAATGTACACAACTCCCTTTTGTTATCGCGCATCACGCGACGGGTCCGTGTTTGGGGTTCCAGGTCCGCGATGGCACCTGGCGGCTGATAGAGAAACACTGTCCGCAACCAGAAAAGATGGGTGGGAGTTGTAGCTTCCTTCCGTACACTAAATCAATGAGAGTACTACTCTCCTCTCTTCCCTGATTCTTTATTGAAGATACATATCCCATTCCCTCCTCGTATGATTTATTACACGCGCGACTTTTAAACTCGTGCGCTGTTCGTTCCTATCAATCGCTCTCGGTCCTGCAAAATGGTGCCTCAGCTGCAGCGCTGGCCTCATTTCAGGACCGGCGCTTTGCTCTTATCGTTCAGGATGACGCTGTCGCCCCAGCGCGAAAAACAGTTCAGGATCCGAGAACTTTCTCGTCGTTGTCGCCCCCCTTCCTTTCCTCAACCCCTCCTTCCCCAGGTCCTCTTGCCGCTTCCCCTCCTCCTGCTACTCCTGCTGTTGTTTCTCTTCCTCCGCCTCCCCCTCCCAGTGATATTTTCCCTTCGTCTTCCTCCCGCTCATCCACCACCTCCTATCCTACTCCTCCTCCAGTGTCCACTGCTTCCCGTTTCATAGCGCATGTCCCGAGGAGTTGTTTATATATTCATATATATATATATGGCTAGCGCAAACGTCGGCGGATAGAGAAACAGTCGTACAATGGGCAAGAATGAGTGGGGGGCGAGTAGGATGTCATATTCCCCCTTGCCTCTGCCCTCTCCCGTGGGACAGGATCCCTTCACACATGGTCTATCATCCCTCCTCCCACTTTCCTCTACCTCTTCTCTCTTCCTCTTTTCCTCCCTTTCTCTCATTATTGCTTCCTCTCAACCGACAACCGCGGCGCGAACAAACCCGAAACTAGAGGATAGAAAGAGGACGGGACGAAACAGGAGGGACGCCGCAAATGCGAAGCAACAGACGCCAGAAGGCAACAACGGCAACAAACGCACGGCGTGGCAATCCACCACCTGTCGTGTCGTGATGCAGCGTCCCAGCTCTAGTATCCAGCATGAGGGAGGGAAAACAAGAGGAGAAGCAGCAAGTGGAGGAGAGGGGGAGAGGGGATGTGGAGGAGGAGGAGCACACGGATGACGAGGAGGAGGGGAAAGGAAGAGGAGATAATATAAATACGGGGTTGGAAACTGTGCGAGAGAAAGCACAGCGGCAACAACGTGTCGATTGCGGGGCTTTTGCGAGGTTTGTTCGGTTATTCTTCGGGGGGTTGTTCGGTAGAAGTTCGGAAGTTGGTTCTGGAGTTCGTGGGTTTGCTGCATTTTCTATTTTAGTCGAGATTGCGCGGGCGATCGAACAGCTCTGGCGGAGAAAAAGGGCAAACGAAGAAGGGAACCATGACTGTCCACCCACCAAACACATTCTACACTCAGCAGGGATACTCCGTCGTTGTTTGACCTGGACCTAGAGGCGCGCGACGCGGCGCGGCAAAAGCTCACCTTCTGACGGGTAGATCACTCGTGCTCTTAGGAGAGGCACTGGAGGAGCACGCGCGTGTGAATGAAGGTGGTGTGAGTTCGCCCGCGCCGCATCTGTGTATGATGGTGACCTCGGGCCGCAGACGTAGCGTCTGAAAAACCTGTTCTGAGACTTACGCGAAGTGATGGCTCTGGGGTCGCGCGAAGGGCGAGGTGGAGGTGCGAAGTCGCCTTGACGTTGTAGGTTGGAGAAGGTCCTCGGTCCAAGACGTCTATCCTTGTCTTATGCGGCCCTTCCTCTTGTCGCTGTAGAATACGAGGCCCCAACTTCACCGATCCATCGGGCCAGACCATGGCCATAATTTGAATCCACGGCCAACGCGCCAGCGGATGCTGTTGGGGTTGCGAGGCGGATAGCCATGAGGGCAAATTGCCCAGGGGAGCTTGTTGCGATGTCCGCGGCGTTTCCGAACAAACTCCCCCATGGCTTCCTTCCGCTGGGCCGCCGGGGCGCGGCGGCCACGGATTGACCGCTTGACGCGGGGTCTGCGAGGGCCTCGGCGACATCTGGGGGGGGCTTTTCATCGGGGGCGCGCAAACATGGATTAGCGATCCATGCATTTGGCGCGCCGTCGCCAAGTCTATGGATCGGGGGAGGTGCCCGCCCCAAAATGCGACCGGTGCCGCCTCGCTCAGCGGCGGAAATCCACGATTTCCCTTGGAAGCGGGAACCGTCGCTAATCCACGCCCCCTTGATCCATGTTTGCGACCGCATGGCTCCACGGGGCCAACCCCTCCATCTGGAAACGATGGCGATTTCCTCTCGGCCGAAAGGGGCGTCGAGGACGGACCAAACAAAAAGTTGCGGCACGTTCCCGGCCGGGCGCCTCTCGCGGGGGCCGCGCCGCCGAGCCCGAGCGTCGCGGCGCGGAGGCCCTCGCCGCCGCGCCCGCCCGCCCGCCCGAGGCACGCGCGCCGCCCCCCTTCGGAGGCCTGCGACGCCTCTGCAGCGCCTCCGCGCTCGCACCTCTGACGACGTGCGGAACGCTTGGGGCGCGGAGCTGAGTGCTGCACCGGAAACAGATCGTGGCCATGGCTCGCCAAGTGTGTCACAAAAGGCGGCTGGAGGGTCTTCCCCCTGAGCCAACACCTCGCTATGCGACGCCGCGGATCCGTGCAGCTCTATAAGGACTGGACGGGATGAGGAGGACCATGCTGGCCATCACCAACCTGGCAGCCGTGCCCCCAGAAGGGGCAACATTTCAAAACTGTGACTCCGTGACTCCCCAGAATGGGCAGTATTCAAACATTATGCACCCAGTCTGCCGCAAAAAGCACGTACGGGCATGTGCGCAGGCTCCTGGGCGCAGCCGTGCGTCAGCCAAGAGCGCGAGACAGGTGGAACAGTACATATCGTGAAGGGGCAAATGGATCTAAGCACCCGTTTGTTCTGTTACCGGCCTCTTGGTCCCTGGTCCTCCCCCGCACCGGGGGGAACCCCAGCAAGACCTCCCTCGATATCACCTTCAAGCGTAACACCGGGGTCACGAACATGTGCCCCCGAGAATCCCGAATAAGGGAGGCCACGGTCCGCACATGCCCGCACAGGCCGCTGACCCTCAGGGATTAGCAAGGCTGGCAACTGTAGTTCGGCCTGACAACTTTGCTTCAGCCTGTAATCCGCGCCTCACGTCGAGGCATTGATGTGCGTCTCTGAGAGTGAATCACTTCTCTGGGAGTCTCAGGATCGAGGATGGAGGCTCGATCGAGGATGGAGGTGCGATCGATGGTTTGTCGATGGTTCCCCATACAAGTTGTTCAATACTTTCGAGTGTATTTCATGTTTTTTGGGGGTGGCGTTGCATCGTATGAAAACCGTGTCTCAGGGCTGTCTCATGGATCCGGACTGTCTGGGGGAATCTTGAGACCTCTCCTGGC